CAGAGGGAGAAGCAGACTCCCCGCTGAGCAGGGAGCCCGATGCGGAACTCGATCCCGGGACTCCAGGATCATGACCTGAGCCGAAGGCAGTCGCTTGACCAACTGAGCCACTCAGGCGCCCCTTATTTATTTATTTGACAGAGACTTGATCCTGGGACCCTGGGATCATGACCTGAGCTGAAGGCAGATGCCCAACCGACTGAGCCATCCAGACGCCCCTATTTACCACTTTTCAATATAATGAATTGATTCCCATCATCCTTTGAAGATGAACAATTTTTTAAAAATTACTATTATAAAAAAGTTATTATGAGCTCATGGTTTTGAATGTATTTGATGGGTTTAAGTTATTACCATTATCAAATCTCAAAGTTTCCTATCTTTGACCTGTGGGACCTCTTCAAGTTGGTTCCTGAGTCTTTTTGACAGGATGCTACTGGTTTTTGCTCATTTCCTTGTTATCTGGTATTCTTTTTTTTTTTTTTTAAAGATTTTATTTGTTTGACAGAGAGAGACACAGCGAGAGAGGGAACACAAGCAGGGGCAGTGGGAGAGGGAGAAGCAGGCCTCCTGCAGAGCAGGGAGCCCGACACGGGGCTCGATTCCAGGACCCTGGGATCACGATCCGAGCTGAAGGCAGATGCCCAATGACTGAGCCACCGAGGTGCCCCTGCTATCTGATATTCTAAGATCCAGGCTTCATTTTATAAATTTCCTGATCCAGACCTGGAGTCAGCCAACTCTCCAAGAAGCTCTCATTTATTTTAGGGAAAAATTCTATTTCAAGATCATAATCAGGGCACTGGTGATACTCATTGCTACTAAGTTGGTCATAGTTTCTAGCCTTCTCGGTGGAAAGAAAAAGGAAGGGGAAAAATCATATAAAGAAAAAAATCATTTGAGTTCATACTGATATTTCAATTAAAATTTGAGACTATAGAGCTTTTATGTAACCTCTCTATATTTCATTTACTTTTTTTCTTCCATACTATGCATCCCGGTTCTCAAGGACACAAGGAAGAAGAATTAAAATGATCTCTTACTCTTTTGTTTGTATTTATTTATTTATTTATTTATTTTCATTGCTTTATTTAAGTAATCTCTACACCCAACATGGGCTTGAACTCATGACTCTGAGATCAAGAGTTGTCTGCTCTTCTGACTGAGCCAGCCAGGTGCTCCTCTTATTCTGTTTTAACCCCCTATCACAGACACACACACCAATTTCAGAATAACAATACAGATATTGTAACAAATATAACTGCTGGAAATAGTGAGGTTTTTTTGTTTTCCATATGCTCCTCCCATTCTCCATTTAAAAAAATGTTGTACTACTCTACATGATCAGAGCATACAGCTATTACTACAATGCTTACTTCTACAGTGAACTGTTTCTCATGTTCACCAGCAATCCTTATGTCAATGTCTCTAGTCACTTTGGTCAACTGAAGCTCATGCTCTAGCACAGTACTGACCAATAAACCTTCCTGTGCTGATGTGTTGTCCTGTGTATCTGTTGTCCAATATGGTACCCACTAGCAACATGTGCTAAATGTGGCCAGTTCAAGTAAAAAACTAGTGTAAATTTGATTTGATATTAATTTAAATGTAAGTAGTCCCATGGGACTGGTGACTAGGTTTCATATTGGATCACATAGCTCTCTAGCTCTAGCAGATTCCTCATGGGAGGAAGCCTTAAGTTTCTGCATAGCAATCTGTGCCCTTTACAGCTGAAAGTTGCTTTTGCCGCATATAAAGTCTTTGGCTTACACTTTTGTTCTTTGAGTATCTCTAATATGTTACTCTATTTTTCTACTTGTATAAAGCACTGGTTTTGAAAGTCTGATAATAATCTAATTTCCTTTCTTTTATAAATCACATGTTCTTTTTTTCTGGATCCCAAAGGAGTTTTTCTTGTAGGTTCAGAATTTTACTAGAATATGTCTTGGTGCTGCTTTTTCTGGGCTGATATTCTCAGGTACATCATGTGCTCTTTCAAAAGTAGTTTCAAAATTTTTTTCATTTCAGGAAAATTTTATTGAATTATAGTTTTTAGGATATGTTCTGTTTCCATGCTTTCGTTTTCTTCTTCAGAGCTTCCTTTATGTGTATGTTCTAACTTCTTTGCTTATTTCAAATATTTGTCATTTTCCCTGTAATCTTTTTTCTCATTTCATTTTGATGTTTAAAATTTTCTTCCCTTTCATCCTTCCTATTTGTTGTTAAGGCTTTATTGTGCTTCATTGTTAGTGTGTACCTTTCAACCCAGTCTTTTTTCTGGTATGATTTTTTATTTCTAGTTCTTTCCTGAGTATTGTCACTTTGTTTCTGAATTTTCCAGTTTTGATTTGTGTTGTTCTTTCATGTCTTGAATGATGTGCTTAAAAAATTCTAGCTTGCTTTAACATAGTAGGTCACTGTTTTGATCTCTTTTGTAGCCATGTCTTTCTGGTATGCTTCCATTATCAGTAGGGATTGTTGATGTTATGTGCTCCTTATTCCTTTTTTTGCTTTTAATTAACCTTGTATGAGATTAACCAAGATACTTTTTTGTTGCTTATTTTATATAAAATTAATTTTCCTAAACTTTTAGAATGAGGCAGGATTTAGTAAAGATTTTTTATCATCACAGAGCTTACCCTCCTACTGTTTCGGTGTAGTGGTAAACAATATGGCAGCTTGCTTTCAATTCCTCTCCCCCTCTCTGATTTGGGTATTTCAATTTCTTCCTCTCTCTTGTCCTTAACCTGCTTACTTTCGATTCTACTACCAGCAGTTTCTTCTTAGTGAGAAGGGAGCATAGCACCCTCAAACTTCCTCAGGCCTCTGGAGTGACAAATCTTTCCCATTTTCAGTTTCTGTTCTCAAATTGGCTCACCATTCTTTCCAGTGAATAGCTGTTGGTTATCTGTGAGTTCCTTTGTTCCCAGGTACGTCAGATAGCTTCCTCTACTACCGCTGCCTCCTTCTTTCTTCCACACAGATACTGATATCATCCAGGCCTTGTAGTTGTGCAGTGTATTCATAAGTGTTTGCAGTTTACAGTTTAAGTGATATCCTATCACCCAGTGTTTGGTTTTGTTACCTAGTAGCTCTACTATTATTTGCCAATTTGGAGAGAGCAAAAAACTATGCTTTTGCTACCATCTCCTCAGAATCTCTGGTTATTTCTTACTAAGACTCTCCATTGGTTCACTCACTGTACTTATATATGTTCCTTTAACTCTGTGAACATATCTATAATAGCTGCTTTAAAGTCCTTGTCTACTAACTGAAATCTTAGGGTTATTCAGGATCTGCTTTTATTGACTATTTTTCTTGATTATGGGTCATTTTCTGATTCTTTTCCTGATTCTTCTCATGTCTATTGATTTTTTTTTAACTGAAAACTGGATTACTTTTGTAATCAGAAAATAAAAACTCCAAATTTATTTTATTTATTTTTAAAGATTTTATTTTTAAGTAATCTCTACACCCAACATGGGGCTTGAACCCCAAGCTCAAGATCAAGAGTCACATGCTCCACTGACTGAGCCAGCCAGGCACTCCTCAAATTTATTTTTTTTAAATGTGAATGTGTGTGTATTAACTAGGTGTGTCTAGATGACTGAGCCTATGGTTTGGTGAATAAAACAGTCTTGGAAAGTAATCAGGAGTTTTGCAAAGGCAATTAACCTGAGCTAGAGGGGACCTGTATATTTTTCAGTCATTTATTCCTAATATACCCATATTCCAACTCATACTCCTAAGAAGCAATGGGAACTGTAGAAGTCCTACCTGCCATTGACAGGCCAGGTACGGGTTATGTCACTCACATAGCAAGAAGACTCACAACCTCCATCCAGCAGCACCATTTCCCCATCCTGCAACAAAAGTATGGTATGTCAAAGTAGGTGACCTTATGATTGTCAGTTGTTTTTTTTCTAATTTAAACTCTTTGTGTCTTTCATTTTATATATATATTTAAAAAGCTAACTTAAAGGAGACTAATCTTCTCTGGTTCCTTCTTATAAGAAACAGCATCTCGATTTTTCAAATGAATTCACATGACTCAAGAAAGTGGCTGTTGCATAGTAGTGCATAGGCCCACACTGGAACCACACTGCTTAGGTCTGAATTACTAGGTGTAAACAGCACATCATAAATGGTATCATTATCACCATTATGTTTAAAATTCCTATATAAGTTGGTATCCAGGGCCTTATTCAAATATGATTACCCTTAACCATTTAACTTTAGAATATCATTTCCCCTTTTGCTCCCCATCACAATACATGTGGGGAAAGAAAAAAACTTTAGGTTCATCTCTCTCTTATTACTTGTCATATTATATTGAAACTACCTATTTATGTCCTTAAAGACAGGGTACATCTTATTTATGTATAAATAAACACACAACTTGGCTTGTAGTAGAATAATGGTTCAATGGGTATATATATTTAATAATGGCAACTTTGACGAATGGATGTGGGTTTTGTTTCTGGCAAAATGACAGAATACATTTCTTGTTAGAAAACAACCAGATCCTATGGGTGTTATACGCAAACAATGAATCATGGAACACTACATCAAAAACTAATGATGTAATGTATGGTGATTAACATAACAATAAAAAATGTCAAGAAAAACCACCAGATCCTGGATACAGATATCTTTTATGAAAGGTTGACATTACCTAATGTAAGAGAGGTCTTAAAGACTTTTTCTCTCTTGAAAAAAGGTACCCCAGAACTGAAACTAGAGCTGAGAGTAGTGATAAGGTAAGTGGTACTGTATACACAGAAAAGGAGATGTTGCCCTGAGGTCCTGCAGCAAAAAGTGGGAATAACGAGCCAGCGATTCTCACATTAATCCAGGATTCCCACAGGGGATACAAGAGTCCCAGGTCATTAGGACCACTTATCTTTTGGCAAAAGCATATTTAAACAACTTCTGGAGGAAATTTCCCCCAAATTTGGGCTGGCATGATTTCAAAAAAATAACATCAAGTAAATAAATGTGAGCTCACAACCAAAGGTCGTCAAGCACACAAGGTAGGTCACTGTACGTGAGAGTCAGCAGGAACAACATATACCAAATTTAGATCTGCCAGGACTTCAGGTAAGGGAATGATTAGATACAGAATAGCTATCATGAAATGTTTAAAGGGATAAGGAACAGAACCACAAAGATGAATAAGCAAAAAGAGACAATTGAAAAGAACTATGCTGATTTGAAAGGAACCAGAAGGAAAGAAAAAACAACTTCTGAAGTCAATCTCTCAGTGGATGGCTGAAGAAGCAGATTAGATAACCAAAGGGAAACTGACTTCCTAGAAGACAGACATAACCAAGTCCCCTAGAATATGACAGAGAGAGACAAGGCAAATGTAAACATGGAAGTTAGCTTGCTGGAAACAGAAAAAGGTCTAACACACATCTACCTGAAGTTGCTGAAGGAGTGAATAGAATGTAGGAGCGACGTATCTACACCAGTGTCTGAGAATTTCCTAGAACTGATGAAGACACGAATGCAGATTCGAGAGGGGAAAGGTATAATGATGACTGTATGTAAAAATAAATCTACTCTTAGACACACAATAAAACTGAAAAATACCAAAGGAAAAGAAAACTTTTTTTTAAAAAATTATTATTTATTTATTCATTCATTCGTTTTTTAGAGAGAGCACATATATGCGCAAGTGGTGGGGGAAGGGGCAGAGGGAGAGAGAGAATCTTAAGCAGACTCCACATTGAACACTGAGCCCATGATGGGGCTAGATCTCAGGACTCTGAGACCATGACCTGAGCTGAAATCAAGAGTTGGATGCCCCCCAGGTGCCCACCCCAAAGGAAAAGAAATCTTAAAGTAGTCAAAGCAAAAAGAGATTTCCCATAAGGAATGATAATTAGTATTTTTGTTTGTTTTTATTTTGTTTTAAAGATTTTTTAAATTTATTTGAGAGAGAGCGGGCCAGGGAGGGGGAGAGCCCATGAGCACAAGCACAAGCAGGGGGAGGAGCAGAGGGAGAAGCAGATTCCCCACTGAGTAGGGAGCGTGATGCCAGGCTGGATCCCAGGACCCTGGGATCATGACCTAAGCCAAAGGGAGACGCTTAACTGACTGAGCCACCCAGAAGCCCCTCGTTTGTTTGGTTTTAATCTGCAACACTGAAAGTCAGAAGAAACGGGAATGATATACTAAAGATGATGATTGAAAAGAATCTAGGGTAGTTTCCTTGGCATAGCCATTATCAAGAATTGAGAATGAAATAAAGATATTTTGACTAAAGAAAAGCAGAAAATTTTATCAGCCACAGACCTTCATCTAAAGGATTTTCTTCAGGTTGAAGGAAGCTGATCCCAGGAGGGCCATCTAAGATGTAAGAGGGAAAGGTGAACATGCATGTAAATCTAAACAAACTGTCAGAAGGGCTCGGCTTTGGCCTCTTGCTGCGAGTGCCATATAGCTGTGGTTAGAGGCAGAAGCACAGAGCAGCCTGTTCTGATGACATTTCTATCAGATGCCTACTACTGAGTCCACTAGAGCTAACTAGAGCTCTCCCCGATGCCCCAACGGTACCCTGCATTTCTCACAGCTTGTTGAGGACCTTGCCCACAGACTTCACCAGGAAAAGCCCTTGTAAGCTTTTGGATAACCAAAGCAAGACTATGATCTGGAAGTTCTCAACTTATTTTCTCTCAGGCCAATTTATCTAATAATGGGAATACTTTTCTCTCCTTGGACGGCTACACTGGAGCTTATTCTCCAGTTTTTTAAGAATGGGCAATATACTATTTAGGAATAGACACACTGGTGGTAAAATTATGAAGAAAAACAACAAAAATGATTAAAACAAAAGATGGTAGGAGATAGAAAGGGGGATGTGCTTGAGCTTGCCCAGGGGACTACTAATGTTCTTCTCATCCTAGATGATAGATATATGGTTATTCATTCAATTATTTTTAAACAGTACATTATATTTATTGTTTTTAATATATGATACATTTAACAACTTAGGAAAACCTTGGAGAATATAATCAAAGTGAGAAATTTATCCTTAGACCCTTAGAGTAAAAAAAGAAGGATGAAAATTAATGAGTTTAGCATCTAATTTAAGAAACCAGAAAAAGAACAAGAGAATAAACACAAAAAGTAGAAGTGTGAAATTAATAAAGGCAAGGGCCCAGTGTAATGAAATAATAAGAAAGATAAAATAATATTAATGATGTGGAAAGTTGGGTTTTACAAGAATAATAAACCCAGTGAATCTCTGGTGAGATTTCTTTTTCTAGCCAAAGTTTTTGAGATTTAATGTATGCACAGTAAATGCACAAATCTTAAGTATATAGAGTTAAGTCAGTTTTGTCAAATGCCCTCAGGCCCCTTCCCAGTCAATATCCCCATGAGAAGCAACCAATGATGTGATTTCTATCATCATAGATTAGTTTTGCCCATTTTAGAACTTCATATAGATGGAATCATATAGTTTATAATTTTTCGTGTCTGGTTTATTCACTCAGCATAACGCATTGAGATCATTCACTGGTAGTACAGTGGTTTGTTCCATTTTATTTGAAGAATACACCACATGGCAATTTCCTTATCTAATATCCTGGTGATGGACACTTGGTCTATTAGTAGTGAACTTGCTATGAACATTCTTGTACAAGGCAATTTGTGGATCTATGTTTTAATTTTTCTTGAAAAATACCTATAAATGGAATTGCTGGTGCACAGGGTAAATGTATGTTTACTTTTTATAAAAAGAGAAAAGGCATCAGCTTCAGGCTGTCCTTTCCCCTGCAGCCTCTGCTCTGGCAGGAGTACCCTGGCCAAGCTCCAGAAATGTGTGGAGGGGACAGCTGTGGGCTTTGGACAGAGGAAGCCCCAGGATGACTTGAAAGTAGGGCATCCTGAAGAGAGAAAATTAGTGGCTGGTGAGCAGTCTGTATGGCATTCTCAGATGCCTTGACCTGAGTGAGAAATCTGCCTCCAGCAGGACCTCAGATGTCTGACAGCCCTATGTGAGACCAGGATGGGATATTCCTGTAAATATGCTGGTCATGTGGCAGTGTACAACACTGACAACATTTACTGCATGTTGATGATGTGCCGGAATTGGTAAACGCATTCTACATATCTTAACCCTCTCAACAGGCCTACAAGGTACTGCTGTTATTTGCCCAAGGTCACACAGTGGGTCTAGGAACTACTGTGGTGTTCAATTAATCTAGCTCCAAAGCTAGTGTTTGATTTGGAACTTTTAAGTATGGTGCCCCCAAGTCTTTCCAACTAATTCTAATAACTAATTGCTTGCCTTCTTCAATCAAAAAAAGAAAAAAAAAAAAGGCAAAAATATATCAAGAATGTAAAAAGGTACATAACTATAATTACAAAAGATTAAAAGGTAGACGATGCTGAGTAATTTTAAAAATGTAGACAAAATGGTAGAAAAATATAACCTACCAAATCATCTCAGGAAAAGTGAAGTATAAATTGATATAATCAGGGCACCTGGGTGGCTCAGTCGTTAAGCGTCTACCTTCGGCTCAGGTCATGATCCCAGGGTCCTGGGATCGGGCCCCGCATCGGGCTCCCTGTTCTGCAGGAAGTCTGCTTCTCCCTCTCCCACTCCCCCTGCTTGTGTTCCCTCTCTCGCTGTGTTTCTCTCTGTCAAATAAATAAATAAAATCTTTAAAAAAAAAAATTGATATAATCACTTTGGAAATGTCTGGTATTTTCTACTAAAGTGCAAATAGGCATACCTATGACCCATCAATTCCATTATTATGTGTCCCTTAGACAAATCTGATAACATGTATACTAGGAATAACATATAAGAATGTTCACAGAACAGGGCGCCTGGGTGGCTCAGTTGGTTAAGTGGCTGCCTTCGGCTCAGGTCATGATCCCAGGGTCCTGGGATCAAGTCCCGCATCGGGCTTCCTGCTCAGCGGAGAGCCTGATTCTCCCTCTCCCTCTGTCTGCTGCTCCCCCTGCTTGTGCTCTCTCTCTCTCACTATCTCTCTCTCTGTGTCAAATAAATAAATAAAATCTTAAAAAAAAAAAAGAATGTTCACAGAACATTGTTCGTAACGGTAAAAACTTAGAAACTGTATAAATGGCCACCTATGGATACCTATTTATCACACTAATAAATTAAAACTGAGAAAGCTTTACAGTATTTGCTAATTTGTTTAAAAATAACAATAATTACATATTAAGATAAATAACATTTTTAATGAAAAGTAACTATTTTTCTAAATAAAAACATGCAGTTAGAAATGTGGCATTGTTATACAGTTTTACAAATCTCTTTGTCTAGCATAACAGAAAACAGCTAGAATCTCATATCTACTTATCCCCCTTCAATCTGGTGTGATATTGCAGGTCATAAAGCCGCTGGGTTACTTCCTTGTACACTTGAGAGAATGAAAGTGGAAAAGACAAGTAATGTCTGGGTAGTCTTATAAAAATGTATTTAACCTCACAGACCACACTTCAACTGCTGTTCTATACTACAACAATTAAAATGAACAAACTGCAGTGGTATGCAACAACATACTGTTATTTGAAAAAGACACAGACATAATATTTCAAATATATAAAGCTCAAACATGACCAAAGCCAAACTATGTTAAACCATATTGTTTATTAGTAGTAGAATAAAATGAAAAGCAAAGAAATGATGACCATCAAAATCAGGAGAGTGGTTATCTCACCAGGGAGAGAAGTTATCATTGGGAAGAACCACGTGGTGGAAAAGCTTCTTAGGGGTGGAGGGATAGTAATGTCCTGTTTCAGGCATTCACAATTTTTTTCTGTAAAGGGCTAGATAGTACATATGTTTTTACTTTCTGGACCATACTGTCTCTGGTGCAACTACTCAACTCTGCCATTGTGGGAAGAAAGCAGGAACAGCTATATTCCAATAAAACTTAATTCACAAAACAAAAGGGCAGGCTGGATTTGGTGCAGAGAGCTACGGCTTGCCAATACTCATTTTATTTGACATGGTAATGGTTACACGGGTGTCCACTTTATAATTATGAAACTGTTCCTTTATGTTTTAAGTACTTTACCAGTAGTTGCATTTTAAAATAAGAAATGTCAAAAAGGAAAAAAAAAGAAACAGAGAACTTTAGTATATTAAAGAAATTGAATCAGTAGTTAAAAAAAGTTTACACAGGAAAATATCAGACCCAAATAGTTCTATAGGTATATTCCACCCAATTTTCAAAAAAAACATTAACTCAAATCATTTCATAATATTACAAAAAGAAACTACTCATTTTATGAGCTTAATTTGGACTTGATATGAAAATCAGAAAAAGACAGTACAAGAAAAATAAGCCAATCTCACTCATGAACACAAATCAGAATATCCTAAACAACACATTAGCAAGTTGAAACTAGTAGTGCTAAAGATAAAAAAGATGCTTAATTTCACTGGTAGTTAAGGTAACAGAAATTAAGACCACAATGAGATACTGTTTTATACCAATTAGAATGGCAGAAATTAAGAAGTCTGATAACGTCAAGGGACAGAGAGGACGTGGTCAGTAGAATTACACACGACTGGTAGGAGCACAAACAGATACAAATACTTGGGGACAAAATTTTGTATTATCTTATCACACTTGTGAATAAAAAAAATTTCCAAAAAACTATATATAGCAGTATAATTTTTATGTAGTTCACAAACGAGCAGAACTAATTTTTTTCTTTTTATAAGCAGAACTAATTAATATTGTTTGGGGAATCATGTATACATGATACAACTACTTAAAAAAATCAAGGGGAGGGGCGCCTGGGTGGCTCAGTCGGTTAAGTGTCTGCCTTTGGCTCAGGTCATGATCCCAGGGTCCTGGGATCGTGCCCCGCATCGGGCTTCCTGCTCAGCAGAGAGCCTGCTTCTCCCTCTCCCTCTGCCTGCCACTCTGCCTACTTATGCTTTCTCTCTATCTGTCAAATAAATAAATAAAATCTTAAAAAAAAAAAAAATCAAGGGAAGACAAAAATTTAGGATAACCAGTTAGTTACCTCTGGGAGGGAGGCAACAGGATAGCAAAGCATAAAGACACATAAGTAGATGCAAAGAATTGGTAATGTTCTAGCTCTTCAGCTGAGTGATCAGTTCATGGGTATTCATTTAAAAAATATGCTGTGTAGGGCGCCTGGGTGGCTCAGTTGGTTAAGCGACTGCCTTCGGCTCAGGTCATGATCCTGGAGTCCCTGGATCGAGTCCCGCATCGGGCTCCCTGCTCGGCGGGGAGTCTGCTTCTCCCTCTGACCCTCCCCCGTCTCATGTGCTCTCTCTCTCATTCTCTCTCAAATAAATAAATAAAATCTTTAAAAATAAAAATATGCTGTGTAATTTACATATTTGCTGTATTTATTTTTCTGAAATTACTGAAAATTAAAACAGATAATTAAAAGTGGACTTTGGGTGCCTGGGTGGCTCAGTTGGTTAAGTGTCTGACTCTTGATCTCAGCTCAGGTCTTGTTCTTAGGGTCATGAGTTTAAGTGCTGCACTGGACTCCATGCTGAGCATCGAGCCTACTTAAAACAAAACAAAACAAAAAACCCCTTTCCCCACCTTTAAAAAAAAAAAAGTGGACTTAATAAAGGCATATATAATTCTTTACTTGTATAGTCACTTGGGGAGAAAACCATAAAAGATACTCCCTCAGAGCTAATAAGGTACTATTAAAATCTGTCTACTCCCAAAATATGCATGGCCCACTGTTGCCCAAGTCCTTTGAGAAGGAGTGTTATTAAAAAATATGAGTAGGAAAAAAAATGAGCAGAGGCTTTAGAGTAGAATTCTCAGCTCTGCCCTAATGAGTTGCCTAATTTTTTATTTTCCTCATCTGTTGAACAGGCATGTTAATAATTGCTCCTATCTCACAGCGCTAACGCGAGAATCAAATGAGATAATGTCTGTAAAATCATTTTATAAACAATAAAGTGCTTTAGAAGTGGCACCACAGGAAGTGGCACTGAAGGGCATTTCGTGTACCTTGATGAGCTGATTATTCTTCACATAGTGCAAAGTGTTTGACCGGTTACCTCCAGCGACCACGGGCGGGTAGGCTAAGATGTCTGCACCACGGGCCCGGCATTCAAATTCAAACTGAAAAACAACACAGAAGACAGGATTTCCTCAGGGCTGTGCCAGCCCAGACTCTCTCCAACAAACAGCCTATCCCTCCATTCAAGTACTTCTTTTCCGTCATTACTGGAAAACAAGTTAAATCTAACCAAACTTCTCATGCTGTAATTCCAGTCTATTTTTTATTCTCCCCCCATCCTGTTACTTCACCCTATTATTAAGTCTCTTCTGTTTCTCTGAGTGCTCCAAATTTCCTATGATTTTAGTCCAGAAGAGAACACAGAAAACCTACGATCAAGGCTGAGTACAGAGACACAGTCGAGTAGAGTTCCTGTTTTTTCTTCATATTTAGATAAACACCAGAATACAGCTTGCAGTTTTAACAAGAGCTCTGAATTACTAAATTTCAACTTTTCAAATAGCTACCTACCTAAATGTGCTGGAAAAGTGAAAAAGGATGCTAGGCAAATGGCAAATGCTAATTTCACTTTGTCCAAGGATGGAGCTGGAGACTGGTGAGCAGCTGCTGCTCTTTCCAGTACTACTCCAATTCTCCTCCTTTACATTTACTTAAACAGTATTCTCGCTCACATTTGACTAAGTCTTTGCTTCTTCATCTGTTCTGCTTTGCAATTTTCATTTAACTTTCATTTAAGTAGCTCTGTGTATTTTAGACACATCTAATAAATTATCAGTGACATTTAAGAACCAAATCCTCTCCACTGATATCCTGGTCACTTACACGAAAGCCAACTGGATGTCATTGGCAAATCAATGAAATTACTTTACTTATTACTATTTTTGTCTCCAATAAAACCTTTCCAATCTTTTAAAGCTCACCTTCGCATAAAGGAAGCCTTCCTCCATGGGAGCTTTACTGGCAAACATGGTCTCTATGAAAGCCTGTAAACAGAATGGAGGATGAACAGTCTCATTTTAAATACATTGCTTACTCAAACATTCAAAATACTGCAGCTCAAATGAAAAGCACCCTTCTCCCCAATTTTGCTGACCTGAAGTTGTGACTTTGTGACCTGATAATATAGATTTCTGAAGAGGAAACTATGGCTTTCAGGACTATTTGACTGATAACAGATTTAGTGGAAGGGTGACTCAACAATCACACTCAGAATATACATTGGTATGCCAGAGTAAGCTACATGGGAACACATTTGTCATTTATGTTAACAAAGTAGCCCAGAAATGTATGAAATTATGGATCGAATGGTCCAGTCTACTGTAAGGTTTCCCAACCTTAGCACTGTCGACATTTTGGACTATATAACTCTTTTTAGGGTGCCAGCAGCACTCCCCAACTGAGAATCAGATACTGCAAGATATCCCCTAAAGGACAAAACTGGGGCACCTGGGTGGCTCAGTCATTTAGCATCTGCCTTTGGCTCGGGTCATGATTCCAGGGTCCTGGGATCAAGCCCCGCATCGGGCTCCCTGCTCAGTGGGAAGCCTGCTTCTCCCTCGCCCACTCCCCCTGGTTGTGTTCCCTCTCTCGCTGTCAAAAAATAAATTAAAAAAATCTTTGAAGGACAAAACTGCCCCAAGTTCAGAATCAATGACCTATAGTAGAAATACTTTATTTCTCTGTGATAGCCATTCCACGTGTTTCCTTTTTTTTATGAATGTACAATGTTTATAATTCACCACTGTACCTTATTCCAAAAAGATTTTGACTAGTTTACATGGATACACAAAATACAACAAGATGGCACAAATTCATGGCAGAATTAAAGAAAAGCAAGCCTTAAGCAGAATGGAGCTCAAAAAACCAAGAATGCATACCATAATGACTTTCACGATTACTATGGCAACTATGGATGGACCACAAATTTATCTGAGTTTTCTAGTAGCCAGTGTGAAAAGGGAAACTGTCAGCTATATTTCCCATGTTTGTGGGATAAAAACAAATCAGCTACACAGGGATAGGATTATACGATTCTACCACTAGAAAGGAATTTCTCTCGAGTTATGTTCTAAGAGTGAAGGCAATATGGGAAGGAATGTTTTTAATAACATTTTTCCAAATATAAGGCAATGACATCATCATAAAGCCCAACAGAGGGAAAGCAAGTGGGCTGGCCATGAAATAGCTGTGTGGCTTGCCCCTGTTCTCATTCTGATCCTTCCTCAAATGTTTCTTCCTCAGAGAGGCCTTTCTGACCACCCTACCTCACTTAGCACTTCTACCACACTTCATTCCCTTTCACTGCTTCCTTTTCTTCACAGCATTTAATTCCAGCTAACTATACAGCATGTTTGTTTACTGTCTCTCCTCAACTAGAATGTACACTGAGGACATGGACATTGATTTGCATTTCCTTGATGATGGGTGACGAGCATCTCTTCATGTGGTATCTAAACCTACTCTGTTGAGGGTTTTTTTTTTTTTAAATTGGGTGGGTAACTTTTACATTTCTTTCTTTCTTTTTTTTTTTTTTTAAGATTTTTTAAATTTATTTGACAGAGAGAGAGATAGCGAGAGAGGAAACACAAGCAGGGGGAGTGGGAGAGGGAGAAGCAGGCTTCCTGCTTGAGCAGAGAGCCTGATGTGGGGCTCAATCCCAGGACCCTGGGTTCATGACCTGAGCTGAAGTCAGACACTTAACAACTGAGCCACCCAGGTGCCCCTGTTGAGGGTTTTATCACAGATCAATGTTGTACTTTATCAAATGCTTTTTCTGTGTCTACTGAAATGATCATATGGTTCTTATCCTTTCTTTTATTGATGTGATATATCATGTTGATTGATTTGCAAATATTGACCCACCCTTGCAACCCAGGAAAAAAATCTCACTTGATTGTGGTGAATGATTTTACGTATTGCTGTATTCAGTTTGCTAGTACTTTGTTGAGGATATCTGCATCTATGTTCATCAGAGATATTGGCCTGTGGTTCTCTTTTATTGTGGGGTCTTTATCTGGTTTTGGTTTCAGGGTAATGCTGGCCTCATAAAATGAATTTGTAGGTTTTCCTTCCTTTTCTATTTTCTATTTTTTGAGAAGAATAGGCATTAACTCTTTTTTAAATGTCTGGTAGAATTCACCTGTGAAGCCGTCTGGTCCTGAACTTTTTGTTGGGAGTTTTTTGAGTACTGATTCAATTTTTTTGCTGGTAATGGGACTGTTCAAATTTTCTATTTCTTCCTGTTTTAGTTTTGGTAAGTTATATGTTTCTAGGAATTTATCCATTTCTTCTATGTTGTCCAATTTGCTGGCATATAGTTTTTCAGAATATTCTCTTAAAACTGTTTGTATTTCTGTGGTGTTTGTTACTTTTCCTCTTTCATTTGTGATTTCATATATCTGGGTCCTTTCTCTTTTTTTCTTGAGGAGTATGGCTAGAGGTTTATCAATTTTATTGATTTTTTTCAAAGAACCAGCTCCTGATTTTATTGATCTGTTCTATTGTTTTTTTAGTTTCTATATCATTTGTTTCTGCTCTAATCTTTATTATTTCCTTCCTTCTGCTGGTTTTAGGCTTTGTTTTTCTAGCTCCTTTAGGAGTAAGGATAGGTTGTTTGAGATTTTTCTTGCTTCTTGAGGTAGGCTTGTATTGCTATAAACTTCCCTCTTAGGACTGCTTTTGCTGCATCCCAAAGGTTTTGAAATGTTGTTTTCCTTTTCATTTGTTTCCATGTACTTTTTTATTTCTTCTTTTATTTCCCGGTTGACCCATTCATTGTTTAGTAGCATGTTATTTAACCTCTATATATTCGTGGTCTTTCCAGATTTTTTATGGTTGACTTCTGGTTTCATAGCATTATGGTCAGAAAATATGCATGGTATAACTTCGATCTTTTGGAATTTGTTGAGGTTTGTTTTGCAACCTAATATGTGATGGAGAACATTCCATCTACACTTGAAAAGAGTATGTATTCTTCTGTCTTAGAATGGAATGTTCTTAATATATCTGTTAAATTCATCTGGTCCAGTATGTCATTCAAAGCCATTGTTTCCTTGTTGATTTTCTGTTTAGAAAATCCCCAGGACCCCAGGATCATGACCTGAGCCAAGAGCAGCCGCTTAACCAATTGAGCCACCCAGGCGCCCCTCCTGGCTGATTTTTAACAGAAATACTCATTTTTACCACTTTTGTGTTTCCTACCTTTATATTGTCATTTTTGGTCTTTCCTTTCCACTCAGAGTCCCCTTTAATATTTCTTGCATGGCTGGTTTAGTGGTCATGAAATCCTTTAGTTTTTGTTTGTCTGGGAAACTATTTTTCCTTCTATTCTAAAGATAGCTTTGCTGGATAGAATATTTTTGGCTGCAAGTTTTTCCTATTCAGCACCTTGAATATATCATGCCAGTCCTTTCTGGCTTGGAAAGCTTCTGCTGAAAAATCTGATAGACTTATGGGGTTTCCTTTATATGTAACTGTCTTCTTTTGTCTTACTGCTTTTATTTTATTTTATTTTTAAAGATTTTATTTATTTGACAGAGAGAGACACAGTGAGAGAGGGAATACAGCAGGGGGAGTGGGAGAGGGAGAAGCAGGCTCCCCACCGAGCTGGGAGCCCGATGTGGGGCTCGATCCCAGGACTCTGGGATTATGACCTGAGCCGAAGGCAGACGCTTAACAACTGAGCCACCCAGGCATGCCGTCTTACTGCTTTTAGTATTTTTTCTTTATCACTGTACTTTGCCATTTATTTATTATTTAAAAAAGCAATCTCTACACCCAATGTTGGGCTCTAACTCACGATCCTGAGATCAAGAGCTGCATGCTCTACCAACTGAGCCAGCCAGGTGCCCCTGTATTTTGCCATTTTAATTACAATATGTCTTGGTGTGGATCTACTTTTGTTGGTTTTGTTGGGGGTTTTCTGTGCCTCCTGGATCTGGAGTGGTTTCCTCTTCCAGATCGGGGAAGTCTTCAGCTACTCTATCTTCAAAAAATTCTCTGTCCCCTTTTCTCTCTCTTTTTCTTCTGGGACTCCTATAATATGTATGTTATTATGTTTGATGGAGTCACTGAGTTCCGTAAGTTTATCCTCATTTTGCATAATTTTCTTCTCCCTTTTGTTTATCTTGATTACCTTCCATTACTCTGTCTTCTAGGTCATTGTTTCTCTGCTTCTTCCAGCCTGCTGTTATTCCATCAAGCATGTTTCTCATTTTGTTTATTGAGCCCTTATCTCTGCTATGTTATTCTTTATCTCTGTGTTAATGGTCTCACTGTCAAGTCCAGTGAGTAACCTTATGATCATTGCTTTAAATTCTCCATCAGGCATGTTACTTAGCTGTTTTGTTTGTAGCTCTCTGGCCATGGCCTTGTCCTCTTCTTTCACTTGGGTCAAATTCCTCTGTCATTTCATTTTGTCTAAGTCTCTGTGCCTGTTTCTCTATGTTAGGAGAGTCAGGTACGTCTCCTGTTCTTGAGGGTATTGCTTTTATGAAGAGGTCCTGTAATGCCCTGCAATGTAGTGTCCCCTGTTCCCCAGGGCTTGGTGCTTCTGGGAGTATCTCCTGTGTGTGCTTGCACCCTGCTGTTGTGTCCTGGCTGCTTTACCCTTCAGGCCAGTTGTCTTCAGGGGCTCTCTGCCTTTTGTGAGCAGTGTCTGGTCCCTGGCCTGAATGTGGTACATTTCACCTAGGTGTGCTCTGGTTTGCTTGTGAAATGAGATCTGTTGCTGATGCCACTGGAACCAAGGCCTTATAAAACTCCTGGGCCAGGAGACATGGTGTCAGCAAGGGTTTGGGCCAGTCTTCTGGGGGAGGGGGCCTAATGAGCTAGGACTGAGGGGAGTGTGAGTGAGAAGGGCAGTTCCACCAGAGCACTGGGGGTGGGGCTTGGTGTAAGCAAGTTAGGTAGCAAGTGCTGACGCTATGCTGATTCTCACAGGTGGCCCCGTGCTTATGCTGAAAGGTAGGAGAGAGAAATGGAG